GACATCCAGGGATCCCCAATTGTTAAGAAAAAAATCCATGTTGTCTGTTCCCAAGGTCTGTACCACCCACATGCACACAAAAAGGGTTGTAACCAGACTCCAGTGTGTTCAAAGATTTTTAATAGAGGCAGAGAAGAAGAGTTGTTAAAATACAGACTCCTAATTAAATCCCAAAGTCACCCCATCCCTCATGCCAAGCACTCAGCTAAACAGGCAGGCAAGGCTCAACAGCGCAGTCACCATGAGAACAAGTCCAAGGCACACCCTGGATGGAAGGCCAGGCAGGGCCCAGAGAGACTTGGGGTTCAAGCTGTACCAGCCAGGCTGGATAAACCCTGAAAAGGTCAAACGATGGCTGCCATTGTCTCTGAAGAGAGCTGGATCCAAAGCACAAAAGCTGCAAAGAGCAAAGCCCAAGAGCAGCCTGCCTGCCATGTGTGTTCTGTTCCTCTTCCTGTTCTCTGTGCAATGCCCTCCTTCCCAGCAGCAGCCAACTCATGGCAAGTGTTTCACGGCAAGCTGGGAATCATGATGCCTCTGAGATGTGGTCTACAAGGACATGGGGGTGGAGTTCAGAAAGCTCCACCCTCATGCTATGTTGCCAGCTTGCACTACCATTACTACAATCTGTGCTTTTTTATTTTTTAAGTTTATGACTTTGAACAGCTTTATGTAAAGGGTCTTCCTACAAATAGCTGCTCTTCAAATTCTCTTCTGATTTTTGTCAATAACAACTGTCACCTGTGTCAGCTCTTCATAGTATGATCTGATAAATCTGGCCTGGGAGTTCTGCAAAGGCAGTCATTCTATGAATGAGGAAACATGTACCGGAGGCAAATAACTTGAATGAGGACAGCAGCTAGGAAGTGGCCGAAGCAGAATCTAAACCTAGGTTGTGTTGGTTCTCTCCTTGTCTTGCTGCTTGTACAGGAAAACTTTTGTAGCTGTAATCAATTTGTGCAGATTCATTCGTAATTGACTTTTGCCCTTAGTGATTCACTGTATATTATTCACTTGTCATTTAAGTATCATTTTTTGAAAAAAAAAAAAAAACCAAACAATTCCATACTTTTATTTACTTTTCAATAAGCTTAATTCCTTGAGTACAGCATCATATGGATTCTGTGTACAATGGCCTTAGTGGAAGTTTGCTTTGGAGTTTTGCACAAACCACACTACTGTCCTCATGGGCACCAGTTTCCTTCCTCAGGTCTCTTTTGTTCAATTTGCCACTAGGAAACACTGTGTTGTTTGTTTTTTTGCTTTGTACAAACAAGCACATCTCTTGCCTAAACAGAATTGTTTTATCTCAAACACAAACACCTGCAACTTTAAGAGCTATGTGTTCCTTCTGGTTCTGGAAACTTTGTTATTAACCGGCAAAACCAGCCTTGGACCACAACCTGGCAGACACATTTGCTGTTTGTAGTGGCAAGCTTGTAGGCTGGCAAGGCAAGCAAGGCAAGTAAGGCAGGGGGACCAGGAAACAGGCAGGCAATTGAGCCTTCCAGCTCCCCCAATTATCTTTATTTTTTATCTGGCTCTCTCTGGTGTTCTCTCATGGTCTTGCCTCTTTGTAAGTCACTTATCCTCTTGTAGCGGTCCTCCTAGCACAGGTGTGCACACCTACACATGCACAAACACCCATGCTCAGGTGTCCATCAGATACTTGTGCCCCACACCTACATGCCTTCTATGTTAACTAGATCAAGGCCATATATAATAGCCACAGAGGCCTATGTGGAAAGCCTAATTAACTTCATTTACCCCACTGTGTTTTAAAAGTCCTGTTCCCTGCAGACTTCCAAAAGTCCCAAAATAGTGGAAAGGGCTTTATTTATTCATCAGAGCAGCTCTGGTCTGCATTGACTTGGGTCACAGAGATGAACCAGATGGTGCTTGGTCTTGTGGGCAGTAAACAATGCACACTGAGTGTAAATAATCTGTAGGGGCCCAGAGTGGGCTCCTTACCTAACTGGGGGTCAGGAGAGTCTTCCTGATGTCTGAATTAGGTCTTAAGGATAGTCATAATGCAATATTAGGATAGTTATTTGATGCCCATCCATTTAATGTTAGTAGTTTCTTATTCGTTTTCTAGCACCGTCAAGCCAGCTTAATAGGCTTATATAATAGCCTTCATCATAAATGGCAGTAAATTCCACTTGCCCAGTGTTGGGTCATCTACAAAACACTTATACTCCTTGTCCTACTTGCTATCAGAAAAAGCTCTTCAAAACTGCTTTGTTTATATTCACTTATTTCTTATTTTGTACTTTAGCTAAGCTAAACAGTTTTAATTCTGATTTCTAACAAGATGATTGCAAAGCTTAATAATTAATTTTAGGGCCCTCCCTGGTGGCACAATGGGTTAGGAGGTAGCACTGCAAGCTGGCTGCAGCTGTTTCAATGCGAGTTCGATCCCTGGCCCCGGAGGTGATCCACATGGCACGTGGCCCTGGAGCATCCACATGGCGTGGCAGACCTCTCCTGTCTTGCCTGCTGCTCCCCTCAGCAGTGTACTTTGTTGATCTGCCTGTTCTGCTCCCCACTCTGACTCGGGTGAAGCCTCTCACCACCCCTGCACCTCTGGCCTGTACCCCAGTTCTGTATGCATAAATAAATAAATCTTAAAAAAAAAGAATTAAGCTTAAGAATTAACTTTGGAACTTACTCAAATTGCACTAACAGAGAACTATGTCAAGGCCTGGTTTCTGATCCTAATATTGCCAATATCTTCTTCTCTCTGGATCTCAGCATCCTCTATTATAAAATGGGCATGTGCAGGAAGTTTAGGAAGAGTGGCATGGTAAATCTCTAATATCCATTTCCTGCAATTCTAAAGCAATTCTTAAATTAATACTCCAGCCCATGCCTGTGTGGCAAGGCTCCTAAGCAGATGATTTAGGAATAAGAGCATAAAGCAAGCTCATTAACATAGCTGAGACAAAAACCATTCATTGCCCAAGTTAATCAGGCAGTAGTGGACAAAAGACAGTGTTCTGACATAGTTATTTTGACCCTGATTTTGTTTTGGTTAGTTGCAGGAAAAAATTAGATGTGGTAGAAATAATCAAGACAAGATAATATTGACAATGGTTAAAATTACAAATAAAAAAAACCAAAACCCTACACATAGTAAAATTCTATTATGGATGGAAAATCAAATTGAATTTCCCTATCTTTGTAGGCAGCATTGAACATTGCAAAGTTGATCCACAGGAAAATTCTACTTGGTAGGAATAATCAACACAAAAGTAAAACTGCCAATGTGTAAAAAGGACAGTTGTCTGGTGAAAGAATTGGACTTACAGTGGTAAACTTAATGTAGATGATGCACACCTGAAACTTGTATGTTATAATGCATTACTTCAATTAAAAAAGGCTTACTTATTCAGCCTATAGACAATGCTTTATGTAAATAAAGCTTTGTAAACCCATTTACAGTAACTTTTACCCTCATTTCTGCTCTCAACAGAGATTTCTGGTCTATAAATTAGAAACCAGTGCTTCAAGAATTCAAATATAAGGAGAATCTGTGTACCTAAAATATGTTCTAGGACTTTGATTTGAGTTTCAAGAATAACAAGGAGAAAAGGAGGAAATGAGTGTGGACAGATCAGGTAGAACATTCAGAGAAGAGGCAAAGAAAACTGAGAAAATTCTCCCTATTTACTGTTCTATTATGAATTGGAAGTGACCAGCAGTTTAATTAGTGGAAATGTTGAACTAACAGAGAAACCAGACCTTGTTCTGGACTACCACTGAGGGCAGTAGAAAGCCATGGAATACTTTTAGACAGCGCAGAGAGATTGATGGATTTGGAATTTATATATTTTTGAAAAGTCTTACAGCTTAAGAAATTATATGTCTCTTTTAAACACCTCAGGCAAAATGAGAATAAAAGTTATTTGAAATCTGATACTTTTCTCTCCAAGATAATTAGTAATATTTTCAGGAACCTGTTTTCTAAAATTTCTTTATGCTTACAGAGTTTTGTCTCAAATTTCACATGTATTGGGCTAAACATGTTCTAGATTCATACCCTCACGGTCCCCCAAGAACAAATGTAACTAGCGATTCATGTGGATGGAACTATATCATTACGTTAAATGGCTGCTTAGTACTGCATCGTTTGTATATATAATTATTTAACCAGACCCCTTTAGATGGATATTTACATTTCCCTCTGTAATCAACCTCCTATAACAACCTCGTGCATTCACTGTTTCCAAATGGTCCTCTTATCTTTTAAAGGTAAACTTAAAAGTAATGTAGCTGGGTCAAGAAGTATTCCCTTTTACGTTTGATTTCATGTTGCTATCTTCTCGTATATATATTGGTGCTGGAGTGAAATAATGGTAACGGGATGACGAACAGCGTACAGACTCTCACTTACGCCTATCCTCGGTGTCTTGGCATATCCCTTTCCTTATTCCTCTCTTTCACTTCTTTTTCTTAACATGGAGGAAGAAGTGAGAACTGCATCTCCCAGCATTTTGCAGGGACCACACTCCCTGGGAACTGTAGTATTGGGTCTGAGAAGGGTCCGGAAGAAAGGCAGGAGGTTGTGGAGCATGCTGGGAAATGTAGTCCCGCGGTCGGCAGAGGTGGGAGGGAATGTGGAGGGATTTGTGTGCGTGTGTGAAGAGGTTGAGGACACCGCCAACATCACCACTTGGGGATGGGTCCGCGGGACAACCTAACTTCCATTACAAGTGGTCTTTGAGTCGACAAAACTCGCCCGCGAACGGTTGTCTTTATCCCATTGTCCGTGAACGGCCAGGGCGCGGCCCGTCGCATTGGGCGCGCGGCGGGAGACGCAGGCCTCAGCAAGCAGGGCATGTCGGGAGTTGTAGTCTGGGCGCGCTGAGGCTGTGGGACGTGTCGTGGCGCAGCGCCGGCTCCTCCTTCCCCGCCCTTCTCAGCGGTCCCCCGCCCCCCTCCCTCCGCCTCCTCCTCTCTCGCCCGCAGCCGAGCGTCCCCTCCCCCCACCCGTCGGGCTCTCGGCGGCTACTGCAGAGAATTCAGAACCGAGTAGCTGAAGAGGAGGAGGAGGAGGAGGCTCCCGGTCCCTGCGCGCCATCCGCCACCTTCCTGGACACGGGCGAGGGAACGAGAGCGTCGCCTCTGTAGCCTCGGGAGAAGACAAGGGCATCGCCGCCTGAGCTGCCGACGCCGCGGTTTTCGCTTGCAGCAGCTCGCCGGTGAGAAGACCCTCCTTCCCTTCCCCCCCAGTCGACTCTCCCTGCTCCTGGGCCGGTGATACTGGGGGGAATGAGAGGGGTTGCTGATAGCACCGGGGAGGGTGAGAGGAAGGAGTTGAGGTCACGATGGAACCGCGGACTGGCAGGGGAGACTTGTCCAGATGCGGGGTGGGGTGAGGGTGGGACCCAATCAGGTTGGGGGGGGGGTGCGGCGAAGGAAGGGGACTTTTAATGGGGAATGACCCAACTGGGATTGGAGCGTGGGGTTGAGGGGTCAGGTGGAATTTGGGATGGCTTGGGGCGAGAAGGATGAAGAGATTTGAGTGGAATGGCTCTTAATGGGGGAGGGGACTGAGTGAGGGTGGTGATTTTGGGGTTGGCCTGGAGCAGTTGACAGCTTGGGATCTGAGCTGGGTGCTGGGTAGGAGGATGGTTTCAATAGATGGGATTGCAGGGTGGGTAGGATCCTGGAGGGTGTTAATTCGGGAGCGTGGAATTGGGGGTGCACCTAGGTTAGGCACGTAGAATTAGTAGGAGGTCCAGGTGAGGGGCTTGCTTGGTTTGAGACTTGAGCTTGAAGTGGGTGGTTGCTATCTGGGGGTGGTGGAATTTGTGGAGACTTAAGGAATAGCTGGGGTAGGAGAGCAGAGGAGATAGAATTTGGGGTTTTCGAGGCAAGAGCTTATGGAGGTTGGAATAGGAACTGGGGGGGGTGGGTCTTTCAATGAGGGGAGTGTGATAGTAAGCAGGCAGGAGAGGGCTAAATTAGATGTTAGGCCCAAAATGGGTGAACAAAGATTGAAATGGGGGGGCATAGTGTGACGGATTTAGGGTGACCTTAGAACCATGAAAGGGCATGGTGACTCTTTTGGTTTTGGGGGGGTGTCAAGGCAGAGGGCACAGATGACACCGTTGGGCTGGACTCACTAAAATAGTGACTAAAATAGTAAATGATGGTATCTTGAAGAAAATATTCCTTGGTCAAGGTGGCAGAGGGAGTTTGGAGGACTGTTTGAGGTGAACTGGTAGAAAGGAGAGGTAGTTGGTGATGGTAAGGGAGCAAGGGGCTATTTCAGGAGCAAGAAGGCTGGAGTTATTGTATGATGGGGCAGAGAAGAAGGAGAGTGGCAGTGACCAGTATTGGGAAGAAGTGGTTTGGATGATTCTGGAGAGAAAGGATTGGGGTGGCTTCCAAGAGACACAGAGGGTTAGGGGTTGGACTTAAATGGACAGCTTTGGAGACTGTGGTTTGTTTGTCAGTAATCAGAGGAGACTTTGAAAGGGACAGAAAAGGTACATGAAAGCTTTCATAAAGGATATATTAAGCTGTTAGTTTAATTTTTTGTTTTGTTTTGTTTCATTTCTACTAGTGTTAATATGTGGAAGAAAATCAACCACAGGGGAAAGTTGAAAATGGTTTAGTCAAGGTATAATTAAGGAGGGGAGAGGGGTGTCTTTTATTCTTCATACATTATAAAATCCTCCTATATGATGTCTCTGCCTTCTCCTTTCCATCCTTCCCCACGTGCATTTAAAAATTAGACCTGGAATTTGGAACTTAATAGATTTGAGAGCTTGATGTGGTTAAAGAAGCATTCTTTGCTTTAGAACTGATGAATGATACTGGAAAAGATGAGGCTGAGTTTATTTTTTAGTCAGGCAATGTGCATGTATGCAGAAAGAGCTTAGGCCTTTTTTCCCCTCTTAAAATTGATTGCTTGAAGACTCCATTTATTGGTGTCCTGGTTTGCAGGGCAATTAGGCCCATCATTGTATTGCAGGCTAATAATCCTGAGATGAATCTTGGCACCGCAGCTTTATGTAAACAGAGAGAAGACAGGAAATATGGAAATGTTATAAATATTCATTACTGAGATGGTTTGGTACCAATGGAATTTTTCATTTGATTCTCTTTTGACATTACTTGATGAGATTCAAATAATCGTACTATATTTTATAGATTAAATTTTCTAAAGGAATGCAGGTGGCCAGGAGTCTGTCATATGTGGATAAATAAGGATTATAGAATTAAAAAAAAAATAGGGGATGGTGTGAATGTGTGCACATTGCACTACTACAGAAACAATATCTTCATCTATTCATCAGAAATTTTATTTAAGTCTTAATGATTTCTCTGGAAGGTAGAAGAGATGTGAATGGAGGAAATATCTTTAGGGAACCAGTTTTCTGGATTTAATTGCATTAACTTGATTTATTAAGCATGAAGTGACTGTTGATTCAGAGCTCAGACAACAAATGGGGAGGGACATAAAGAATATCAAACTGGCCCCAAATCATATATTTTTTCTTGTTTACACCTAGGTGTTTAGCTTGTTAACAAACCATTTTCTTTGATTTTCACTGTTAAAAACATACAAATATTCAATACTTAGAATACTCCTTCCTTTTTTTTTATATTTCCAAAATGGGCAGACTGATCCTTGGAACTGAAAGTGTTTCATTATCAGGAAACTTCGTGTATTACAATAAAAATCAGGTTTGAACCGTAATTTGATAGGTGTATAGTCCAACAAATGCAAGCATTTCTCCTCATAACTTTGCTGTGGTCCAGACATTGCTTCTGTGAATCTGCAGATTTGATGTAGAGATAGGATAACTTATATTCAAACCCCAGCTTTTGAAAACTCAAAATAAAAAGTAAATCACCTGGGAGAATTGTTTTGGTGGATTTTCCCCTCTTACAACCATGGTTACCTATGCAGTGGAAATGTGTGTTAAGTGTTTTTGTATCTTTACCTCATTTGATTCTCTACATATTCTGGTAAGAAGGGGAGAGCAGTTGCAGGTATTGTTAAACAGAGACCTGGGTGGAATGCATGTGAATTTAGGGCTTTAGAGTCCTGGGTTGAAATCCCCTATTCACCACTGGTTAACTGTTACTAAAAAAATCTTTCATAGTCATTGAAAGGTGTATTGTAAAATCATTTCATACTCAAGAATCATGTCTTTTAGATCTTGACTCTTTTCAGCACACAACACAGTCATGGGTTCGTAATAGGTAGTCAATCAAATGTTTAGGTAAATAACTTACAGACAAACAGATAAACCCCCAAAACAAAACCTTTCAGACATAGTGGTTATGGTTGCATAACATTGTGAACCTATTTAATTTCATTGAACACTTAAATATGCTTAAATGGTAGCAAAACAAAACCCTTTTATAAATTCACAAAACTGTCAAGGAGAACAAATCAGCTCATGTCTTGAAATTACTCTGTTCTCAAAATGGTATATATACATGAAATATTTGTTCAATATTTATTTACTTAATGCCTGCTACAAGGCAAAGGAATGAACAAAAAACAGTTGTCAAGATGCTTTCAGTGTCATGGGAGAGAGCCAATTTTAATTTATAAGAAAAGTGAGGCAAAACAATTAGTTAAAAGTAAGGTTTCTGGGCCCTCCCTGGTGGTGCAACAGGTTAAAGCACAGCATTAGGAAGTTACCGCAGCCACTGTAGCACAAGTTCAATCCCCAGCCAGGGCAGTGACCCATATGGTGTGGCATACCTCTCCTGGCCCACCTGCTGCTCCCCTCAGCAGTATATTTCAGTACATCTACCTGCCTGTTCTGTTCCCCACTCTGTCTCTGGTGAATCCTTTCACCCCTTGCACCTCTGGCCTGTACCCCAGTTTGTATGCATAAATAAATCGTAAAAAAAAAAAAAGAGTTAAGGATTCTAAAGTCTGTCCCCTGTTTGTTACTAGCTGGTGACCTTGGCATAAATTTGGCATAAGAACTAATCTCATAGGGTTGTTTTGAGGATTAGACAAAATAATTCATGGAAAGCATTAAACACAGTGTGTTACATAGTATAAGTTAGAGACATTTAATTGCCATGATTATATATTTTTACCTTTGCAACTGTATGCAAATAGAACCATGGTAGTATTCTGTGACTTGCTTAATTCTTATTTCTTCTACTTCCTTTTTAAAGCTTTAAAAAAACCTTTATTTTTCCACCATTAAAATAACATAGGATCATAGTAGAAATTTGAAATGATAAAACAGTTAAAGGAAAGCAATTCTGAAATTCCCATTACCCAGCCACATACATCATACATATGCTGAGTATATAGACACTCTAGATAGCAAGAGGAAGATAGTTTGCATATAGAGATGATCATGTTACCTATGATAAGGATCTTTATATTTGGAAATAGGAATGGGAGGGTCACAGGCCACCTTTGTGAACTGTGAAATGGTGCTGTTTCAGTGCATTTATCTCTTAGGCAGAAGTTCTTTATTTACCAGACACTAATAGTTTATTATACCGGCTTAGAGCTTCAAGTCATGTTTAGGCAAGTCACTTAGCTATTTTGCTCAGAACTTTTGTGCATCTTTCTTTTTTGCAGAAAGGTAACGTGGTACACTGGTCCTCACCTGATTGTGCAGGAGGGCTACTATCTGATGTAGAGAGTGCTGCGAATAGAAAATCCTGTTATATATACCTAAACTGTCTAATAGAGATTTGAAGTACAAATGCATTAATAATATGTTATATCTACAAATAAACTTTACTTATCTGTAAAATGGGACCTAAATAAATGTGAAACTACAAAAAATTTAAATTGTAAAGGATTTTATAAATGTTACTTTTTTTTTTCCTTTTTCTAGTTTACAAAACTAAAATCAGGGCCTCTCACAGAGTGGTAAAAAAAACTTGCCCTATTTGATTAATTGCCTTTTTGAAGAGTTCTCCCAGTGGAAGAGGGAATACATGACATCCTTTCACAGTTTCTCCCTTGAAACTTGAAGCTTGTTGGGTATGGTGGTACAGAGAGGGTATTAGAGAACTTTATCTCTCAGTGAATTTATGGAACCTGGTTTCACATTGACTGTTCTGGGTAGCTCAAAATGAACCAGTTGAGGTTTTATTGAAGTGGAGAATGCAGTATACAATTTTGCATTCCATTGTTCTGACAATTATAGTCATTTTTCATCTTAGTTTTCTACATGTAACATTACAGAGACCCTGG